AAGACGTTGACCGAGCTCACACATTTGGTGGTCAACTACGAAGTCGCCCGCAGCCGCGGAGGCCGACCCGTCCGTGGATACCCGTCGGCAAACGCAGACGCCGAGTATCCACCCCAGAGCAGGAACGCACGACCTAGGGCGAACCCTGTTCACACACCGCAGGTGCCACGCCCTGGGAACGCGACCAACGACGCCGCCAGCCGAGGCAACGGAGGAAACTCCAACCAAGGGGCCACGCCCACCAGGTCAACCGACCCCAGCACCACCTGCCGAAACTGCGGCCAGGCTGGTCACTACGCCACGGAATGCCGGAACCAGAGGACCATGTTCTGCTGGGACTGCGGTCGCCAAGGCATACGCACTGTCGAGTGCTGCCGGAATCAGACGCCGGGAAACGGGCAAGGGCCTCGAGTATCAGGGAGCCACTCGAGGAACCCACCGAACTCCCACACCCAGTAACCAACGCCATCCAACAGGATCGGAACCGTATCCGCGCACAGGTCACGGTCGAGGGACGACCACTCACCGCCACCTTGGATACGGGGGCCTCGCATAGCTTTATAAGCGAGCGCCTGGCAAGGGCACTTCACGACGGGACGAACCATCGTGCCGTGCGAACGCGGGTGAAGTTAGCAGACGGAACCGGCAGGGAGCTCACACAGGCCCTGCGAATCACGATCCAGCTGGGAAGGGCTCGGGTCAGCGTCTCCGCTCTCATCATGGCGGATGTGCTGGACGACCTTCTACTCGGGATGGATTTCCTGTGTTACGGAGGAGCCACACTACAGTGCGGGGGTCTGACCCTCCAACTTGAGCCACCCATTCCTGACCAACCCACGAGGACCAGCTCGCCGACACCAACCGGGAGCAAACAAGCCGCTCCACGAGCGCACATCGAAGCCGCCACCCAGGCGCACTCACCGGCCGCCGCAACACAGGCGCAGCCCCAAGCCGCCACCCAGGCGCACTCCAAAGCCGCTCCACGAGCGCGCATCGAAGCCGCCACGCAGGCGCACACTCAAGCCGCCCCACGGGCGCAAGGACAAGCCGCCCCACGGGCGCAAGGACAAGCCGCCACCCAGGCGCACACTCAAGCCGCCCCACGGGCGCAAGGACAAGCCGCCCCACGGGCGCAAGGACAAGCCGCCACCCAGGCGCACACTCAAGCCGCTCCACGAGCGCAAAAACAAGCCGCCACCCAGGCGCACTCCAAAGCCGCTCCACGAGCGCACACCGACGCCGCCACACAGGCGCAGGTTCAAGCCGCTCCACGAGCGCAAAAACAAGCCGCCACACAGGCGCACCCCGAAGCCGCCATCCAGGCGCACACCCAGGCTGCTCCACGAGCACACACCGAGGCTGCTCCACGAGCACCCATCAAAGCCGCCACACGGGCGCAACCCCAAGCCGCCACACGGGCGCAACCCCAAGCCGCCACACGGGCGCACTCCAAAGCCGCCCCACGGGCGCACACCGAAGCCGCCACCAAGGCGCAAACACCAGCCGCCACACCGGCGCAAACACAGGCCGCCCCACGGGCACACGCATCAGCCGTCGCAACGCAGGCGCACCCCTCAGCCGCCACCAAGGTGCAAACACAAGCCGCCCCACGGGCGCACTCATCGGCTGCCGCACAGGCACACACCCCGGCGCACACACAGGCGCACCCACAGGCGCGCACACAGGCGCACACACAAGCCGCCCCACGAACGACGGCACAAGCCGCCACACAGGCGCACCCACGGGCAGGCTCATCAGCCACCCAGGGGCACTCACCGCAACGCCCTGACGCGCCACGCAGCGCCAGGCACCCCAACGTGCGCACGGTTCCAAGCTGGGCCGGAGCGTTACCTTCGCCTGATCCAGTAGCGGTTCAGCGAAACCCCTTTCGCAAAGGGGCCAAGAGGGTCCGCTTCAGCGATTTGGAACCGCCGCCTCCATCCTGCGGTATCGCTGACGCCGAATACGACATCGAGGAGGAACCGAGAGCCAGAGGCCACGAGGACAACTACCCGGAGCCCTGGATCGGGGAGTTTCTCGAACGAGAACTGTCCCACTTCAACAGCATCGCCAACGTCTCCCACATCGCCGAGCACAAGATCGTGATGCGCCACGATCGCCCTATCAAGCAACGCTATCATCCACGGAATCCCGCGATGAGGGCCGTCATCGACCAACAGATCGACGAGCTTATCCGCGATGGACGCATAGAGCCTTCCAAGAGCCCCCATAGTGCGCCGATAGTCATCGCGGCAAAGAAGAATGGAGAGGCCAGGATGTGCATCGACTACAGACAGTTAAACGAGAACTCGATCCCCGACGCTTATCCGCTGCCGCGGATCCACCACATCTTGGAGCGGCTGCGAAACGCCCGCTATATATCGACGTTGGACCTGAAGAACGGGTACTGGCAGATCCCCGTCGCCCCGGATAGCCGCGAATGCACCGCATTCACCGTCCCGGGCCGCGGACTATTTCACTGGAAGGTGATGCCTTTCGGGCTTCACTCGGCGCCGGCCACATTTCAACGGGCGCTGGACACCGTCATCGGCCCCGACATGGAACCACACGCTTTCGCCTACTTGGACGACATCATCGTCGTCGGCGCCACTCTCTCCGAGCACGTGCGGAATCTACGCGAGGTATTTCGACGGCTTCGAGAGGCAAATCTCCGTCTCAACCGAGACAAGTGCCAGTTTTTCCAGCGGAGCATAAAATATCTTGGCCATGTAATCAGCGAGGCCGGGATACAGACCGACCCCGACAAGGTCGCTGCCATCCGGGAACTGACCCCACCCACGAACCTGAAGGAGCTTCGCCGATGCCTCGGCATAGCGTCTTGGTACAGACGCTTTGTGCCAAACTTCGCGGACGTGGTCGAGCCAATGACCTCGCTACTCAAGAAGGATCAAAGCTGGAGATGGACCGAGAAGCAGGAACAGGCGTTCCAGAAGTTGAAGGACCTGCTCACAGAGGCACCAATTCTGGCGTGCCCAGATTTCGAGGAGAAATTTGTACTCCAAACCGACGCAAGCGAATACGGCGTGGGAGCCGTACTCACCCAGACTATCGACCAACAGGAGCGCGTAATCGCCTACGCTAGCCGCCGGCTAAACACCGCCGAGCGCAACTATTCTGTTACGGAAAAGGAATGCCTCGCTATAGTATGGGCCATCCGTAAGATGCGTTGCTATCTCGAAGGATACCGTTTCGAGGTGCTGACCGACCACCACTCGCTAAAGTGGTTGAACTCCATCGACAACCCCACGGGCAGGATCGCTCGGTGGGCATTGGAGTTGCAGCAGTTCCAGTATGACGTGACATACCGACGCGGAACCCAGAACCTGGTCGCGGACGCACTATCGCGCCAGCCACTGGCCACCATGCAGCAGGCACAAGTTCAGGACATCAACTGTAAGTGGATCACGACAATGCTACACAGGATCCGACAGGAGCCGGCCAAGTATCCAGACTTTCGAGAGGAGAACGGGCAACTTTACAGACGCATCGGGCTGCGTCCGGAGGATGAGGAATACACCCCCTGGAAACTATGCGTGGGCACTAACGACCGCGCAAGAGTGCTGACTGAATGCCACGACCACCCCACCGCAGGCCACCTGGGCGTGCGGAAGACAAGCACACGAGTCGCCCAGAAGTACTACTGGCCTGGATTATTTCGAGAAGTGGCCAAATACGTACGACGATGCACAAGCTGTCAGAAGTTTAAGGTAAGCCAAGAAAAACCGGCCGGGAAAATGTTCACCCGCCAGGTCGACGAACCTTTCCACATACTATGTGCGGACTTCGTTGGACCCCTCCCACGTTCCAAGCTAGGGAACACAGTCCTATTGGTGTTCCTCGACTCATTCAGCAAGTGGGTGGAACTCGTCCCACTGCGACGGGCCACGGTACCATATCTCGAACGAGCGTTTAGAGAGCGGATCCTGAGTCGGTTCGGAGTCCCGAAGACTCTGGTCTGCGACAACGGAACCCAGTTCACCAGCCGGGATTTCCGGACATTTTGCAAATCACTAGGAATGGAACTGCAGTATACTGCGCCCTACACGCCCCGTCAAAATCCTACGGAGAGGGCCAACAGGACCGTGAAAACCATGATCGCACAATACCTGGGCGACGCGCCGCAGAACACCTGGGATCAACTCCTGCCAGAAATCTCGCTGGCCGTCAACAGCAGCGTGTCGGACACAACGGGATTCAGCCCCGCCTTTCTGGCACAAGGCCGGGAACCACGCCTACCCAACGCACTTTACGACGAAGTCACCCCGGGACGAGGAACCGCCCTGATTCCCCCAGCGGAGAGGAGCGAGCAGCTGCACAACATATTTAAAGTGGCCCGCGACAACGCCGAGCGTGCCACGGCTGAGCAAGGCCGGCACTATAATTTACGACGACAAGAGTGGAAGCCACCATTGGGCTCCCTCGTTCTCGCCCGCCATCATGTGCTATCAAACGCCGCCGAGGGCTTCGCAGCCAAACTGGCTGCGAAATATGAAGGCCCGTTCCGAGTGATCAAGTTCCTCTCGCCGAACATCGTCCGGCTGCAGGATATCGGGAGCCGCCGTCGCCGCACGGCCAGCATAAACAACCTAAAAGCATATCACCAAAGCAGCGCGGACGACGACGAACATCAGAACGAGGATAGCCTCAGCATCACTGCAGCCCATGACGACCACGACGACCACGACGCACGTGATCAGTCCGGAAGCCTCCACTCTGGCATCGGCTCTGATCCTAAGGAGCTATAGGAGCGCAGGAGCTTAGGATAGGCGCCACCCTCAAGCAGGCCAAAAGGGGGGTGGACTCTACTAATACGTTTGTTTATTTTCATAGATCCCAAATATTCGTTATTGGAATTGCCAGATCGACCGAAAAACCACTTCGATACGTACGGGCATCGCGCTATCGGATATCGATAAAAATAGCGCGATCTTCGCCCTGCAGATCCACGCGTTCAAATTGTGAGACGCAAAAGCTAAAAAATGCCGAGAGAGAGGAACACAAATTCGCGGCGCCGCCATTCGCGCCATCCGGAGGACGAACAACGTCGCCGCCATCGCCACCATCACCACCGCCACGATCGCCCGGCTAATCCGGACCCAGGTGAGCACCCAAACACCGCGGCTCCCGCCACGACGATGCCCGCAATAGAGGAGCTGCACCTGGCAGGCAACGCCACCAGTCCTAGGCACAACTCGCGGCCACCGACGCCGACAGGCACGGTCGCCGCCGACACGGGGCGCACACCGCGTCCGCCATCAGCCGCGCCCGCTGCCACCGGACCCACCGCACCAGCGACCACCGCCGACAGCGACGCCCCACCGTCGCCCGCGATCAGCCCCACCTGGTGTGAAGGGCTAACCTACGAGGACGTGGTGGCATCTATTTTTGAGGCAGAAGAGGAGCCGGACCCAGCCATCCCCTCGGTCCCCGTCTCGCCGACCCCCGTGGGCCCGCTGGGCGCAATTTATGAGGAGGTCTCCGATGCTGAGGTGGTGACTCTCAGCTCGGACGACGACGAGCCACGGGGCGCGGCAATGGACACAGTCGTCCTTCTCGACGAGGAGGAGACCGTGCCGTGGGTACCGCCCCATCAAGAAACGCCGCCACCCTCATACGAGGAGCTTTTCGGGCCGGGCCCGTACCCGGAGCCCGATCCTCCAGCATCAGCCGGGGTGAGCACCGCTGCCACCATGGCGGTGCGGGCCACCGGCGCCGCTGCCACAGGCACACCCAGGCCCGCACCCAGTGCCACCGACGCAGTCGCCAAGGAGCAGGCCACGCCCACGTTCATCGCCGCCGACGACACCGCCGGCGCGGAAACCGTCCGGGCAGGTGCCAGCACCCCCCACGGGGGATGACTTACTTGCGCTCCTGCTGGGGAAGCTGGCTGCGTCCCCAAACGGACCCACCACGTCCGCCGCATCCCAGCAGCGGGAGGCAGTCCGGGCCGCGGTCCGAACGATCATGGCCACGATCCCCACGGCGAAAGCTGCTGCACAATCCGACGCCGCCACCGGACCGGCCGCCGGCATCCCGCCGGCCGCCACCGCCCAATCCAACGCAGCCGCCGGCATCCCGCCGGCCGCCACTGCTCGATTCAACGCCGCCACCGGACCGGCCGCCGGCATCCCGCCGGCCGCCACCGCCCAATCCGACGCAGCCACCGGATCGGCCGCCGGCATCCCGCCGGCCGCCACCGCCCAATCCAACGCAGCCGCCGGCATCCCGCCGGCCGCCACTGCTCGATTCAACGCAGCCACCGGATCGGCCGCCGGCATCCCGCCGGCCGCCACCGCCCAATCCAACGCAGCCGCCGGCATCCCGCCGGCCGCCACTGCTCGATTCAACGCAGCCGCCGGATCGGCCGCCGGCATCCCGCCGGCCGCCACCGCCCAATCTGACGTAGCCACCGGATCGGCCGCCACCGCCCAATCCGACGCAGCCGCCGGCATCCCGCCGGCCGCCATCGCCCGATTCAACGCAGCCACCGGATCGGCCGCCGGCATCCCGCCGGCCGCCACGGCTCTACGAGACGCCGCCACCCAAGCGGCCGCCCAACCGGACGCCGCCGTCACGACGCGCGCCCCGACGCCACCTGACGGCACCGCGGCCACTGCAGCCGTAGCTGCCGTCCTGCCACCCAGGCCCGTGCGGCGGGTGAGACCGATGCCAGCCACCGACCAGCAGCGCTGGCGTGGCCGCCAGCCCTTGGCCAATCCCGGAGGCGAACCAGTCGGCCGCCCAGGCATCCTCCGCCGACCGGCCCCATGGCCCATGGAGGAGGCCAGTACTGACGAGGAGTTAGGAGAGGACGCCGAGGAAGACGAGGAGGACGCCGACTCGGAGGAGGAGCTTCCCCCGGTGGACCCCCTGCCTCCAAACGCCCAGGTCCGCGCCCTCGACGGATGGGTTACCGAGGACGGGTGGGTACCCATCGCCCTCCTGCGCAGTATTGACGGGCATCTGCGCCAGCCGAGACGCCGGGAGGTGCGCTACCTGGAGGAGGTAGCCGGCACCCGCTATCGTATCCAGATATCGACCAGCGGCCGGGTAAAGGTCTTCCCGCACCCCCGAGGAAGGGATGGGGTGTGAGGTAACCCTCACAAGGGCCCCCCCTCCCCCTCATGTATATAATAGTTAGGCGTAGTTTATAAGGTATGATATAAGGTAGAATCTTAAGGTTTAGGGTAAGGACGACCAAAGACCCATGGAGGGCACCCCTTTTATATTAAGGCCCATGAAGGGCATCCCCCCCTCAGGGGACAATCACTTTTGAGTTGGGGTGTGGTACGCCTCAAACACCTGCCACATCCCCGGCCACGCCGAAAACCACGTCAGCAACACACGCATCAGCAACACGCACCTCAGCAACACGCACATCAGCAACATGCACATCGGCAACACACGCCTCAGCAACATGCACATCAGCAACACGCACCTCAGCAACACGCACCTCAGCAACACGCACATCAGCAACATGCACATCAGCGACATCCACATCAGCAACATCCACAAACACGCCAGCAACATTCCGTCTCTCCAAACTTGCGCTCTCGGCAGAACCGACGGCCGGGTCCGGAGAGACGCGAAAAGGAAGAGGAACGCACGATCGCGTAAAGAGACGCGGGTGCGGAGGCGGCAGAATAAAGAGGACGCCTATAGTCTGCACGGAAGCAGCGTAAGGGCCTCTGCCGCGGTCGACGGCAGCAGCGAGGGCTTCGAACAGCCTTCGCTGTTCGCCGGTCGGGGAGTGAGTTTTCGACGATCAAAGTGAACGGACGTGAGCGGATGACAACAAGGAATAAAGGACACGTGGACATGGAGTCCTCCCAGTAAGACGGGTGAGCCGGCCGCGGGCCAGCCCTACGGGGTGGCCAGCACGTGCGCAGGGAAAACTAGGGACCCCCAGGCACTAAATTATGAATAAAGTTGTAAGCAAACCACAATTTAACTAAAGTCTTCTCTCTCCCAAGTCCTCCTTCCCCTTTCCCCCATACCTACGAGCACCGGCCGACGGGGCCGGCACGCTGACCCCCGGGTGACGGGGGCAGTCGCTCATACCCAGTATTTAGGAGCACCGATCCACGGATGACGGGATCGGTCGCTCACCATCCCCTCCTTCGTAGTCTGAGCACCGGCCGACGGGTGACGGGGCCGGCACGCTGATCCACGGGTGACGGGATCAGTCGCTCACTACATCCTTTCCTTGAGCACCAGCACCCGGGTGACGGGGCTGGCAAGTCGATCCACGGGTGACGGGATCGACGGCTCGTAATCCTCCGCCCCCCTAACAGGGCTCCGGCACCCGGTTGACGGGGCCGGATAAGCCGATCCACGGGTGACGGGATCGGTCGCCCTGGGCCTGCCCAGGTCCGCCGGCCGCCCGGGTGACGGGCGACGGCATAACCACGGCACGCAACCCAAACTAACCCAAACTTTCCCCCCTCAAACCCACGCCCAATTAGAAAACCCGCCTCCTTGTCCTGTCTGTCTCCGCAAATATAAATTATTTCTGTAGGGGACCCTGGATAGACTGAGTATTTATCCTGGCCCGTGATTAGCATCCTTACAATTTGAACCATTGCAGAGCGGCTCAGGACTTGCTTGCACAAACAGTGCCTTAAAAATAGACCTGGCCATTTTGAGCGAGCCATACGCAAGTAAGCACGATGGGATTTGGTTTCAAAACACCCAAGGTGGTGCAGCAATTTGGAGCTGCAGCTCGAGACCAATGCAGATCCAATCCCGGCATTCAGGCAGAGGTTTTGTCAGGGCGAAGGTGGGTAGCCTTACCATCTACTCGTGCTACATTGCACCAGCGTCGACTCCCAGACATTTGGCAGCATTGTCGACGACATTCTGGAGGACGCTAGAGGACGACACCCCATCATCATTGCCGGCGATTTCAACGCCTGGGCAACGGAGTGGGGCAGTTGCCTCACAAACCATAGAGGCCACATATTGTTGGACGCTGTTGCCCGGTCAGGCCTCACTCTGGCTAACACAGGGTCAGCCAACACCTACGAGAAGGCGGGAATGGGTTCAGTGATCGACATCACGTTTATGAGCCCAACCTTAACCAGGACGTCAGCATGGCAAATCTCAGATATATATACCGGAAGCGACCATCGAGCCATCACCATGGAAATAAGAGACGGGAACGCAAAAACACCAATGCGTCCACTGGGTTCCGAGATTCTACCCTCGACCCGCAAGCCCTGATCTTAATGGCGGAAGACCTCGTGTATGACGAGCGTAAGAACGCCAATGAAAATGCTGTAGGCATAAAGAAGGCGACTTGGTCAGCATGCGAAGCTTCTATGCAAAGGAGACGTGCTGACAGAAATGGGTGTATCCCGGTGTATTTGTGGACCGATGCCATAGCGGAGGCGCGCAGGAAGTGCCACCAGGCACGAAGGCAATATATGCGCTCTCGAGGTAGGCCGAACTTCGCCTCACTCCAACGCCTCTACAAATCCTTGCGGTCGACTCTTAAAAAGGAGATCTCCGCAAGCAAAAAACAATGCTTCGCAAAACTATGCGATGACGCAGACGCACGCCCCTGGGGTACAGCGTACAAGCTGGTACTTAATGGGGAAATTGGCGGCCTTCAGCAAGCCCACCCCAACATGTCCTGAGCAGCTTAGCAACATAGTGGCGCAACTCTTCCCGTCGAGCGAAGCACTGCAGCCACAGCAAGAGCCCTTCGCGCTACAAAGTGATGACATTTCCATGTCCACTAATGCCTCGGAAGTCTTGGCTGAAGTAAGGAGAATCAAAGTCGAAAAGGCCCCTGGCCCAAATATGATTCCGAACAAGGCATTAAAGATTTTAATGACGGAGAGATTAGAGATCTTCGTCAGGCTCTTCAATGCCTTCTTCGCTCAGAGAACGTTCCCTGAATCCTGGAAAATGCAGAGACTGGTACGTTTACCCAAGGGCAGTCAAAATGATAACCTTGCGGCCTGTAAACCACTCTGCATGCTTGATACAGTAGCTAAGGTATATGAGAGGCTCATCTGCAACCGCATCGAAGTTGCACTGTCCAAGGGTCCGGGCTTATCCCATAATCAATTTGGATTTAGGAAGAAGCGCTCAAAAGTGGACGCGATCGGGCTGGTGCACAAACTGGCCGCCGAGGCAATCCAGGGAGCACGTTGGCGAGATGGTAGCAAAAAATACTGCCTTGTGACTACTCTGGACGTAAAGAACGCATTTAATACAGCAAACTGGGTGCGGATACTTTCGGCCCTGAGACGTTTACAGGTCCCCAGCTATCTGGTGGACATAGTCTCAGAGTATCTTAGCAACAGACAGCTTATATATGATACTGAGGAGGGCCGTCGAAGCTATGCAGTTTCAGCAGGAGTTCCTCAGGGCTCGGTGCTGGGCCCGACCCTCTGGAACTGCATGTACGATGGAATACTTAACCTACAGCTCCCTGAAGGAGCTACGATCATTGGCTTCGCAGACGATATTGCTGTCGTCGCAGTAGCGAAGCACCTAAATGAAGCCGAAGTAGTAATGAATGCGACCATCGAGCAAGCTTCCCACTGGCTATGTGCTAATGGCTTGAAGCTCGCCGAGACGGAAGCCGTCTTGATTAGCAGCAGGAAGGCGGTAGAAACCGCCCAAATAATAGTGGGTAGGACAATTATACGGTCCAAGCCCTTTATTAGGTACCTTGGCGTAATGCTGGACCACCGGCTTACGTTCAAATTCCAATTAGAAGTGACGGGCAACAAAGCGGCCAAAGTTGCCACGACCCTAGCTAGGATGTTAGGGAATGTAAACGGGCCTAAACAGCAGAGTAGGCGCCTTCTTGCCAGTGTGGTAAAATCCACTATTATGTATGCGG